CCCGCCACCTGCAGTCTCTGCCTGCAAAGGGCCTTCCTAGTGTGTGGAAACCTTTCCTCCTTCACAGCTCCCTCCCACTGGTGCAGGTCCCGTCCCTATTCTTTTGTCTCTGTTTATTCTTTTTTCTTTTGCCCTACCCAGTTATGTGGGGAGTTTCTTGCCTTTTGGGAGGTCTGAGGTCTTCTGCCAGCGTTCAGTAGGTGTTCTGTAGGAGCTGTTCCACATGTAGATGTATTTCTGATGTATTTGTGGGGAGGAAGGTGATCTCCGCATCTTACTTTTCTGCCATCTTGAAGCTCCTCCGGTCATGAGTCAATTTAATTGGAGATTCATGAATCTATCCTCCTTGAAAGATCACTGTCCCACAGTTGGCCTTAAAGTTTTTTTTGTTTTTGTTTTTATTTTCTGGAAAAGCATATTAATGATGAAATTTTGAGCTTGTCCACAACTGAGAATGTATTTGTTGGCTTCACATATACATGGCAGTCCTAGTATACATAGGTAGATATAGGTATCTTGAATTATACCATATTATTTTCAAAAACTGGTATTGTTAGTAAATTGCTTTTTGATATTTGGCATAGTTGAAGTCTTATGGCCAGCTTGAATTTTTGTTACTTTGTAAGTAATATATTTTTTTCTCAACAATTTTCGCCTTTTTTTTTTCATTCTTGGAGATGAAAAATTACAACTGCATATGTTGGATTTCTTTTTCTGGTTTTATTTGATCCCTTTTCATCTGCTTATAAAGGTTTTTCTTCAGTCTAGGAAAACTTATTTGATTAAAGCTGCTTCTGTTTGTTTATTTCTTATTTCCCTTTTGTAGGAAGATAGAATCATCTGGTTCTTACTTCTGTTAGTGTTGTCGTTTCTGTCATCATATTTTATGTTTTGTCTTCTCCTCTCGGGTTTTGAGAGCTGAGATGGGTCTTATTAGGGATTCATGTCAATTCCTGGTAGAATCTTTAAGCCCCAAATCAAGGGAGAACATTTTTAGGAAGTTTAAACTTACCCTCATTTTTCCTTGCCAGTGGAGAGTCAAAACAGGCTGGGGGTAGTTGGGCTTCTGGAGGTGAGAGTCAGAATTGGAGGCAGACTTAGCCAGGAATGTGTTTTGCTAAAGAGCTTCCATTTCTTATTTGGAACAACTCTCAGGGCTTGCTTCTGCAGTCTCCCCATTGTTTGGCAGGCTGGCTGTCCACTGTGTGTGAGGGACTGATAAACCCTTCCATGCCAACTCGCTGTCTCGCACTGCCTTTGAAACCAGAACACTTCCTAGTGCTGCTAATGGGATCCGCAGGCTAACCCTCACCTCCAAGCCTGCAGAGGCCTCTGCCGATTTCCTTTGCATATTTCCCTTTTGCATGTTGGAGATTCACAAGTCAGGTCACCACTACCCTCAGTCTAATTTCCTCTGTATTTTACATCACTGAAATTCCTGGGAATTTATTTTGTATGGCTGACCGTCTTGCCTACTTTTTAAGGGTGATCCTGAGTTTTTCCTCTTTCCTTATTGTTGATCATTTTCATGTAGATCTGGAGGGGAATAGTTTATGCCTTGCAGAGCAGTTGACCTGTGCTCTCTTATAAATGCAAATCTGAGGATATTTTGAAGTCAGGAAAGTGGGAGCACCCTTGGGAAATGGAGACGATAATAATCTTAAGTATCCTGATAGCATGTTTCTCATCTGGTTACCTCTGATGACCAAGGTCACTGAATAACAACAATGACAATAATGATAACAGATGCCTTTTAAAAAAACAACGGGGAAATGGGGGAAGTTGTTCAGAGTACAGACTTACAGTTGTAAGATAAATGAATTCTGGGGATCTAATGTACAACCTGGTGGTTATAGTTAGCAAGTACTGGTTTTAAGTATTGTATACGAAAGTTGCTAGAATAGTAAATCCTAAATGTTCTCACCAGAAAAAGAAATTAAATTTATGAGGTTTTGGCTGTATTAACTAGCCTTACTGTGGTAGTCATTTTGCAACATATATGTGTATCAAATCATCATGTTGTATAAGGACACAATGTTATATATCAATTATATTCAGTAAAGCTGAAAAAAATGACCAATCATAGGTCACATGGTTGATGTGACTACATCAATATCAGTTTGATTGAATCTTTATATCAACCTAGGAAATTTGGTGGTTGCTTCTTCATTTTATAGCTGACATTCAGCTATTGCCTGGGATTGCATAGCTAATACTCTGTGATGTACAATTCAAACCCAAGGTTGTCCTCAAAGTTTCTGTTCTTTGCTGGCTATCAAAGAGCCTGAAGAGTTGTCCAATCTCCATATCTCTGTGGTATTTACAGTGTGCCCAGTTGCTGGTCTTTGATAATCTGTTGGCATTTTATTGCTCTCATATGTACTGAGTCCTTCTCTGTGGGGATAGTGTTCATATACATAAGAGGAGAGCATGTTTTATTGTTTCTCTTTTACTGTCTGGAACTCTTGACTAGCAGTGGGAAAGGTCTTGTCCTCAGTACCTTGGTTTGTCATCCATCCTCCTTAAAAAAACAAAAAAAAACTAGGGTATTTATCTGCTCCTAGAGGAATTCTTCCTGTCCAGTAAAACAGTTTGCCTTCATGTATTCCTTATGGAGCCCTCTGTGGTTATTTTGGTGGTCTAAGTCTCCTCACCTGTCTCGGAACATGTATGGGCCATGGGACTGCTATTCTCTATGGTCACAGCTGAACAAAGTACCTGCAACATAGCAAGATCTCAAGCAGTGTTTGGTGATGCTGTTGCTGGTCATGCTTTACTACATACAGTTAGGACCAAAAAAATACGAAAATCAGAAGAGAAGCAAAATCACTGATAATTTAGGAAACTCTTAGCAAGATAAAAGGTAGTTAGAAAGTGTTGGGGGCTGTCAGTGCCTGGTAGATGAGAATATTTTTGTTCTTGATTTAGAGTGGAAAAAATGTGTGTATTTATTTTATAACTTGCTTCTTTGAGAAATACTGGTCAGTTCCATCATTAGATTTATATTTTCCTTTCAGATATATTGGGATAAAAAAACATTTAATGGCTGTAAACTGTGTCCCTCTGATTATCTTTGGTTTCCTCTATTGTTTTTCCTTTATTCTAATTGAATCATGTCTTTTCCCCCCAGGTTACGGTCTTTGGTCAAACAATTAGAAAGAGGGGAGGCTTCAGTGGTAGATCTTAAGAAGAATTTGGAATATGCAGCCACAGTGCTTGAATCTGTATACATTGATGAAACCAGGTAAGCTAAAGTGACAAGTTGATGTGGTAATATAAAATTTCTGTTATATGGCTTTTCTGAAATGTCCCCCATGGCATGTAGGAGGTAGCATTCAAATGATTGGTCTTGGAGCTTTAGTTTTCACAAACAAATGGGGTAGATTTGGATATCACATATCCTCTGTACATGCTCATTTATAAAAAGGGCTAATAGAACTTACCTCTCATATGCCCATTATGACAGTGAAGTAAGAAAATGTAAGAGGAAAAAAAGTGATTTTAAAAATCTTACCAGATTTTTAATCAAATGTAAACTTCGACTGGAATTATTGAATATTATTCATCTCAGCCTAAAAATTTTGTTCATGTTTTCATTCACATTATCTATCTGTAAATGGAAGCTCCTGAAGGGATGGAGAAGCATTTGTTCTCTTAAACACCCAGTATTCCTCCCTTAGTCCTTAGGTTTGTTATTGATTTACTTAGCAGACCTTCTCCACTTGAATTATCCATAAATACTAAAGCACTTCCGGTTACTATTGTAAAGTGAATTTGAAAGTAACAAAATTGCTTTTCTTTAGAAAAATGTGGAAATGGTAAACATGAAAGGCTTTTCTTCTTTTTTCTACCTCAGACAAGCTTCTCTGTTAGTATTTGTGTTGTATTACTTTGCTATGCCAAATTCCAATCCAAAAGGATTTCCCAGTAATCTAAGAATCGTGTGGCTTGGTTTTCGGTGATATGCTTGGTTCCTAATTTAAGGAAATTTGATACCGTAGTTTTTTCCCAAATGTTACATTTTTCTCCCCTACCTCTCAATTAATGGGTCTAAAGGGAAAAAAAAACAAAACAAAATTTTCCATTGACATCTGTTTTTACTGTTTATTTTTAGTAGGGCTTAGTATAAGTATAAAATACAACATTCAAAGTTTTATTGTAATTTATTACTACTTATGTTCTGTTCTAGCCTGACCTAAGAACACATTTGAAAAATCTGCTGAGCACACCTGACAGATGACTTAAATCACTGTGGTCAAATAAAGAACTGCATTGTTTTGGAAATTTTGCTTAAATTTAGACATTTAAGTTTCTGTAATGTCCTAACAAACTAGAGAGAATAGCAGTTGATATTATTTGGGTTCATTACCTCAGAGGACTGGGTTGATGTGATTTGGATAATACTTTGCAAAGTCTTTCTTTTTCTTTTTTAAAATTTATTTTTATTGAGACGTAATTGACACGTAACACTGTATAAGTTTAAGGTGTACAATGTGTTGACTTCATATATTTATATATTACGATATGATTACTACTGTAGCGTTAACTAACACCTCCTAATTATTTTTTTTTGTGATGGGAACTATTAAGATCTAGGCTCTTAGTAAGTGTGAAGTTTATAATACAGTATTGTTGTCTATAGTTTTTAAGTGCCATTATTTTTAAAACAAAATAATGCCACATGGCCATCTATGAAATAAACCTCCCGGTGAATGCATTTTTAAATGGAAGATTTAGATTCCGTGCGAATTCCACAAACCATCTAGGAATAAAGATACTGGGTGCTCCTGAGTGCATTGTGTCTCAGACCTACAAAGCCTGAGATAAAGTATATTTGACTTTCTCTGATTCCTTTGTTCCTTTGTCCAGCCTGAAAAACAAATGGTGGCCTTTCACAAGCCTTGTCAAAAAGGTGCTGGATTTTTTTGTGGCCAGTTTATTTTGGTTTCTTTGCACCTGTGTATGCAGGTGGGATGGAGAGTAGGAACAGCTGCTTTGAACAGAGAGCTCTAACTTCAGATTTAATCTGTGTCCTGGTTCTGTTTCTTGGGTTCAGGAGACTCCTGGATACGGAGGATGAGCTCAGTGACATTCAGTCAGATGCGGTGCCTTCTGAGGTCCGAGACTGGCTGGCCTCCACCTTCACACGGCAGATGGGGATGATACTCAGAAGAAGCGAGGAGAAGCCGCGGTTCAAGAGCATTGTCCACGCAGTGCAAGCTGGGATATTTGTGGAGAGGTAAAGATGGCTGTCATTCAGTGACCAAAGCAGCAAAAGGGACACCAGTTTCTAATAACCAAAGGCTTTGCTTTGATGTAGTTTTGGTATCTTTATAAATGCTGAAAATTCTGGGTGGAAACAGACAGTCTTGAATGAGAGATGGCAAAAACATATCTCCGCAGCATCGTTAGGACAAGCTTTTGCCTTTGCTTTGAATCCTTTTTGTTAATGTTAACTAGAGAAGATTTAGTTTGAGTTGAATCTCTAATTTTTAAAGAAGGACGTCTCATCCATCGTCATTTGACACATATGGATGATGTCTACGTTTGGAACAGGTCAGGGATGCTTTGTGGAGGGTACTGAGCCAGGGAGGAGTTCATTCAAGGTGTTTGAGTTCCCCATGACACTTTCCAATTTTGTAAGTCACTTTGCTCTCTGAAATTAAATTGCCCCCCTTCCCCAGAAATGGATTCCAGAAATCGATTTATTCTTCCTACGACCCTTATCACACAATTACACATTTTAGAAATGCCATGGTCAGCTCGAAGTTCTCTCTAGTTTTTGACAGTTCTAAAGAACAACCTCTTCTAAATAGGTTGCCCATAGGAGTTCTTTTTCAGGTTAAAGTACTACACTACATACTGTCCGTGCTATACTATAATTCCCTTCCAGCAGAACAGGAGACCCATTTTAATAATTTAATTTCCAATTTGGGGCACATAGACTTAATTTTTTTTATTTCCAATGCTGTACATGTTTGGGATTGCTTTCATGTCATTTCATAGGCCACTTGAATGACTATGAAAAAGGTTATAAAAGAAATTTTAGGTTCCGTGGGTCCATCAGATGACATGACTTCTTGTTAATTGTCAATACTGGTATAAGTCTGTGGCCTGCTAATTCTTCTTTGTAAGACATAATATTGCATTTTTCCCTTCTGACTTTGCCAGAATGTATAGACGAACATCAAACATGGTTGGACTGAGCTACCCACCAGCTGTTATTGAAGCATTAAAGGTAATACCAATGAAAAGGTCTTACAGTGTTCAAGGTACCTTATAAAAAGTACAGTTAAATTTCTTGTTAGAAAATAAGAAATTTTCATTTACAATTCTATTTACAGTTTTCCTAGTCATTATCTTTTTGCTATTCGTTCTAACAGTATCACTATCTTTTCAGCCTTTGTACTGCCAAAGTTTTAAAAAATTGAACTCTGGTTTCATTTCTTTCTCCTCTCTTGGAGTGGTTTAGTGATCTGTATAGCGATCTGGCATTATGAGACTCAGTCTGACTTTGGCCATAGGAGATCAAATTTGTACTGTTTATAAATATTCAACATTAAGAGGATCTTTGGTGATTATAATTCTACCATTATCTGCTTACCTGTTCTATATCCATTTTATAGATGAAGAAACTAAGACTCAGTGAGACTAAAAAGAAAAAAAAAGGCACAGAGACAGAACTGAGGTTTGATACCAGAGTTCCAGGCACATAGTAAGCTAAGCTCTCAGTAACATATTACTGCATGAAAGTATGTCCCCCAGAGCCCTTGTCCTCTTCATATATCCTGCTGTTTTCCCGAGTCCCTCAGTGAGCCCAGAAGTTCCATGGGAAGTCACACAGATGCTTGAGTTCAAAGGGGCTAAATACTGCAAGATGACTCCCAATCAGACAAGCTCTTGGAATTGTATAAAGTATCTCTAAGAGCCCCCACGTAGATGTATTCCTGTAGAAGTGTGTTCATTCAGACCCATTGGTCTAAGGATATCCCAGCTGTGCTGAAGCTGATCTGACTTCTGGATTTGAAGGAGGGGCCGTGCTAAAGTTCAGGATCACAGAGCTGGTTGACATTGCCTGGTGCCCACACAGGGAGTTGTGTCAACTTGCTCAGGGGCATCCCAGCATTCCGACTCTTCTTAAAGCTATTTTAGTCTTTCTCTGAAACCTGAAAAGTGTATTCCTGATGAAATTTTCAGAAGAGAATTTAAATTCCCTTTTCACAGAATCAGAGGTGGGAGTGCTTCTTGATCAATTTAATGTCAAGAGAGGGCCCTTGAGGGTCATTTTGCTTTTATATTTCATAGTCCCTTTCTCTTGACTCAGAGACAATCACTAGCTGAATTTGGGAGACCCTATGTATTCAGATCCTCAGTTCTCCATTTTATGTTTCTTCTTAAGTCATCTAGGACAGCAGTCCCCAAACTTTTTGGCACCAGGGACCGGTTTCATGTAAGACATTTTTACACGGATGGGGGTTAGGGTGGGGAGAGTGGTAATGCGAGCGAGGGGAGCGACGGGGAGCGGCAGATGAAGCTTTGCTCGCTCTCCCGCTGCTCAACTCCTGCTGTGCGGCCCAGTTCCTAACAGGCCGCAGACTGGTACCAGTCAGAGGCTGGGGGGTTGGAGACCCTGATCTAGGACAGGTAGGGTGCTCAGGAAGGAAACAGCAAGAAGACACGTTTTCTCTCCCTCCTCTTCAACCCCCACTCTAATGCCCAATAAATTATTGTGTAATTTACAGCAATGTTTCCCATTTAATCTGTGAAATCACTTCATGAGATCTGTTGTTTCATAACACCCACTATGAAGTTGCATTGATTTTCATAATTGAACCCAAAACATTCAGTGAAAATCTTGGAAACATTAAAAGCATTTTTTTTTTTTTTTTTTTTTTTTTTTTTTGCGGTACGCGGGCCTCTCACTGCTGCGGCCTCTCCCGTTGCGGAGCACAGGCTCCGGACGCACAGGCTCAGCGGCCATGGCTCACGGGCCCAGCCGCTCCGCGGCATGTGGTATCTTCCCGGACCAGGGAATGAACCCGTGTCCCCTGCATCGGCAGGCGGACTCTCAACCACTGCGCCACCAGGAAAGCCCTAAAAGCATCTTTTATCCTTAATTTCTTCCTTTATCATGAACATAATAATCATAAATACAGGTGGTTATACCAGTACTAAGAAATTTATGAAAATATTTCATCTAAATTGGAGCATCTTTTCTATGCAGAATAATTGAAGAAATGTGGAACAACCTGTGATGTGCATGAAATGTTTTATGCTTAGGGAAAAGTAATTCTCAGAGGCACACATGTTTTCTTTCTGAGGGGAACATTACCTTGATGATGCGGACAAAAAGTAAATGCTAACTCTGAATTGCTGTCCTCCACACTATTGCTGATATGTACATAAGGCTAAAGCTGTTGTTTCTCTTGGTTGTGTGCTCTGTTTACTGCAGAAATTCAAGACCTTTTTACAATGTAATATTTTTCTGCATCCCTAGACTCCAGTTTTATTTTCAGTGGATTGGAGGTGAATTGGAGATATGACATAGATTCTTTTTTTATGTAGTGCCTGTTAGAAAAAGGTTATTTTCACTCCAGTGCCAGCAGTTTATATGGAATCACTATTGTTTTCTTCTATTACAGAAATTTTCCCTAAAGCCTGAGAGAATACAAGTCAGTAAAATAGTCATCGTGCTACTGTCATGTTAACCTTTGTGATTAATGTAAGAACATGGAACATGGCATAAAATAACATTTAAGTAAAGAGAATACTTCACCACCACCAATTCCTAAATTTTAAATATGTTGCAGTTTTGTTCTTTTTATTTGTTTCCATGCAATGAATACTCTCATTTGGGGTGTTTTATCTCTAACCTTCTAAGGTGGGGTTGCTGGAAATGTAGAATTGCGCTGTTCTTTAGAAGGGCATCTGTTGTGTGACTCAGGAAGAGACACTCTGGACAGACTCCAGGTTTAAAGTGAGAGGAAATGAGGAGGTTCAGGCTTTCTTCACTTTAGACTAATAGGAAATTCATGCAGTGTTTCCACAGGAATGGTGCTTGGGCCAAATTTGCTAAGAAAGGAAGAATGGTTTAAGGTGCTTGTTAAAATGCAGATTCCAGGCCACAAGCCAGGATTCTGCAGAGCCCTCCACCAGAGAATCGACATTTTTTTCTGAGTACCCCAGGTGGTTCTAAAGAACACTGAAATTTGAGAATCACAGCTAAGCCTTCCCAAAAATGAGGGGCTGGAGTGAATGTCTATCCCACTGTCTGTATTTACTCATCCTTCTGTTTCTCTAAGACTTAATATTCAGAATAAACCTTGACTTTTTACTATGATAATCTCTTGATTTCCAGTGTTAGAGAGCTTTTCTCTTTTTCATTCATTCAAGTGAAGAGGATTAAAAATTGTCATATATGACAGGGTTTTCCTACCTACTGAGTTGTCAGTGGACTTTTCTTTAGGACTATTGGCTAGACAGTGGCTGTCATGACAACGCCAATTACAGTAGCCAAGGTGAAGCTTTAGGTCTTGGATTAATCTTAAATGACCCCACTGTCTATGGCCTAGGCCCTATTGGGGTATTTAGGGCATGAGGCTTGGGTCACAGCATGTATTCATTGAGTTTACAATGTCATCTGTCAGTAATGGTATCACCAAGGGGTGTCAGTGTGGTTATTACGTGGTTCTGCTACCAGTTGGCATTAGACACTTCATCTCTCTGAGGTTGCCGTCTGTGAAACTGGGGAAAGTGATACCCGTTTCTAGAGTTGTGAGGGTTTGCAAATGTGTATCAACACTTCCCACTGTGCCTGGCACAGAAAATGTCCTTAATACTTGTAGCTATTTCTTTAGTTATTATAATGGAGGAGAAATTATTGAAGGCTGAGGTGAGGTTACCACTAAGTGTGAATTGAAACAATCTATTTGAAACCCTTTTGGAAATGTTTGGTTTCACCTATATACAATTTGGTTTTCCTGTGCCCTGGCATCCATGAGAGAGACTGTTCATGGTCTTGGGGTGATCTTGATGGCTGGGATATTTGGAGAGGGACAGGATTGGGATGGATAGGTGATGTTGGAATGCAGTGAGGGCTGAGGCGGGAGTCACTGGATCCAGCAGTTCCTGAGAGCCAAGGTCTCTTCCAGGGGACCATCTGACACCTAGCCTGAACTCAGTGTGGTCTCATATGGGTCCTTATTGTCACACTCATGGCAGCACACTTTCCTTAACCACTGAAAGGCAGACTCTTGGTATACTGAGAAACCGAATGACTATTGCTTTAATTATTGCTTAAACACATCTTTGTTCATAACACCCACAAGTAGCTAGTTATAAGTCAAAGACACATCAGACAATGTTTTGGAGTAGCTATTTATGGACAAATAAGGCTTTGAACTTCAGGAGCAGTGTGTGAGGAGTGTGTTCAGCTTAGCTCTTAGTTTTACTTTTTCAGTAAAGTGACTTACAGATTTGAGGGCTCAGTCCCCAGATCAGTGACTCCAGAGTGGTAGCATTTTTCCATCCCGTGAAATGAGGGCTCTCTCCTCGGTTTCAGCTCAGCAGTTTGGATTGTTGAGGTGACACATTATTTTGTGATCTATATCATGCGTGTTTCTGAACACTTTTAAGTGGGTTAGCATTCTCAATGGTGGACTAAGAGGAAGTCAGTAGATAGTATCATGGGGCTTGGGAGAAGTTGAGAGTAGGGAACACCCTAGGTTATTGTGAAATCAGTTAAAATAATTTTGGAATTCGGCAGAGATAGTAGAAGGTTAATGGAAAGAGCCTGAGTTTAGGCATCAGTTGAACATGTGTTCATGTTTTGTCCTTAGCACTTGCTTGCCAAGGGTCTTAGGGAAATTAGGTAACTTCTCAGTTTTCTCATCTGTAAGATGTGACTGATCATACCTACCACTTAGAGTTGTCTTCAGGAAAGATTACATGTTTATCACTGATCAGAATGCCTAGCATATGGTAGGTACCCAATAAATTATAGCTATTGTTATTACTAATAAAACTATTGAATATTTTATCAGTAAATGCTATGTAGGCCTGCCATATTGGAAACAGTTTGAGAGTGGAAAGGGTATTAGAGTCTTAGGCTGTGAATACCCAGGTGAGTGCTGTGGGCTAACTCCAAAGTAGGGAGATTAGTAGCTGTGTAAGTGGCTACCAACTAATGAATTATTTCTCTCCATCCTCTCCTGTAGGATGTGGACAAGTGGTCCTTTGATGTCTTTTCCCTCAATGAAGCCAGCGGGGATCATGCACTGAAATTCATTTTCTATGAATTACTCACACGCTATGATCTGATCAGCCGTTTCAAGGTCAGTGTCTAATTCAAAAAAAGAACCACACATTTGTCCATCCTTGCATGATTTGGGGGCTAAGACCAAGAGAATCCTTTTAATGTAGACTGAAAACTCTCTGGGGTGACTTGGGAAGCATCATCTGGACAGCCACTGCCATGAACTCCTCTGTGGTGGGAACTTTTCAGTACTCCCTTGTCTGGTGGGCTCATCAGCAGGGGAGAGGCTGGAGCTGCCCATTTAGATCCCAGTCGTCCTAGAAGTATGGCTGGAAGCCTGAACCAGCAGAGCTCCCCTGCCGGCTCTGCCCACAGATCTCATTTCAGCGAGACTTTGTGTGCTAATGACCACCACCAGCAAGGAGACAGGGATGGAGACAGAGTGCACGTCTGTTATCTCCAAAAACTTCTCTTTCGGCCACTTGGCTCAAATTCACACAGATATTCTCAGTTATCATCTGTGACAGATCATTGGTATTTCCCAGCCATTCATGCTTCAAATTAATTCTTAACCTTTAAGAAAAGAGCATGAGTCGATTCCAGTGTTCCACCTCCTCGGCCTTCTAATTCCACAGACTCTGGAGGTGGCGTCCGGTTCTCCAGGGAACTTGAGCATCATCTGCTGGCATCTGTCATATCATGCCAGTTACATTTCTCTCATCATATGGATGAATCTCCGTAAAATGCAGGTCTTCTTCTGTATAACATATTGATTTTTCTGGGCAGCATGATTCTTTATCACTTTCCTAAGGACTGCACATTTCAGGATATCTTTCTTACATAGCCATAAGCACTTTATGGCAATGGTCCTTAATTTCTTTTCTTTTTTTGCGGTACGCGGGCCTCTCACTGTTGTGGCCTCTCTCGTTGCGGAGCACAGGCTCCAGACGTGCAGGCCCAGCGGCCATGGCTCACGGGCCTAGCCGCCCCGCGGCATGTGGGATCTTCCCGGACCTGGGCACGAACCCACGCCCCCCTGCATCGGCAGGCGGACTCTCAACCACTGCGCCACCAGGGAAGCCCCAGGTCCTTAATTTCTTTTGCATCAGAAACCTGTTTGAAGATCCGATGGCTCCTCAAGACCTCAGAAGAAAGTTCCCATGCACAGGCACACACCTTTACCTAGCATTTCAGTGGCTCATAGATCTCCAAAGAACAGCCCAAAGAGCCGAGGTTCATTGGATCTTCATTTTTTAAAATGATAATGAATTAATCTCTCACATCTAAAAGGCTATATTTAAATTTTAAAAATCTACAGATAGTAAATATGGAACAATGTGCCCAAGGGAGAACATAGTATGGATTCTCATGAAGCACTCTAGTAGTATTTTCCTCATTTTTTCTTATGAATGTGATTTCTAGTCTCCTGGAACATACACTCTCCTTTTCCCCCAGTCTTGTAATTGATAATTTACCCCAAACCAAGGAATTGATCCAGAAAACTATACAATGAGCGTTTTCCGAGTCTCCTTATTTTGTACAGGCATTCTGCACTTGCTCACTTTCTGCCAAATAGGAAACGAAGGTGTGTGTGTTATACGTATTTGAGACAGAAAGCGGCTAGAATAACTGGAAGTATTTTTCCAAACTGCAAGGCACCAATAATAAATTGCCAAGTAATAAACACAAGAACACAGCTTGTTTCTGTTATAGAACAGACTGTCACTTGTGTTTTGGGTTTTTTTTCTCACCTGTCCAGTGTACACATCACTCCTTCTAAAGGGTGCAGTTTTCAGAAGGCGGCAGCTTGTATTTGTTTGCAATCATTTTATAGCTTAAGATCTTTGTGTACTTATGTTTTCCCACAAGTAAATGAGATGCTGCATAGTATGTGTTCATTTATTTCTCAGGAAATAAAGACTTGAACCTTTGCCTGAGAAATAAATGTGCACCTACCTTTTTGCCCTCAATGTCCTTGAGATGATCCTGTGTCATTACCCTGGGCCTCTGAACTGGAGAACAGAAAAATTTGCAGGGTGGACCCGGGACGTCCTGTTAGATTTTCAAATTATCCAATACTTTGTTCAGTGACTTTTATTAACTTAGAAAATCGAATGTCCTCATATGATATCTAACGCCTTCAGAAAGAGGCAGCTAGAGTACCTTAGACTTTTGCATCGTCACTCAAAGCTGCTAAATCACTAGCTAATTAACCTTGCCGCTCTCTTTCAGATCCCCATTTCTGCACTTGTCTCATTTGTGGAGGCCCTGGAAGTAGGATACAGCAAGCACAAAAACCCTTACCACAATTTGATGCACGCTGCCGACGTTACACAGACTGTGCATTACCTCCTCTATAAGACAGGAGTAGCAGTAAGTACAGATAGAAACTCTTGGATTACACAAAAGATGTGATAATGATTTTTTTTGAATTGGAGGCTGTTTCTATTGTTTCTATTGTGATGAGGTTGAACCCACAAGAAGTGCATTGTTTCATGGACTTCCTGTTCCCCAATAATTATCTAACCAATCGTGGAAAGTCTTGGGGTTCCTTATTGCCTTTGAATTTTTCTCCATCTTGGACTTGATGAAAGAAATATCTGGCAGTGCCTTGTGTCCTTACTAGGCTATGGCCAAACTAAATATAACTTCTATAACTAAATATGTATTTCCAGATATGGAGAGTGGTACTATTAATCTCTTGCTATGGTCAGTTACAATGATATCCATGCATGTTGAAATCGTATTGAGTATACTTGGGAACCATGCTGTACACAGTTAGCTTTTGGTTTAAACCAGTAGATCTTTTTCACAAGGGCTCTGTTTATTCTCATTTATGTGCATTTGATTTTTTTGAACCTAAGGATTAGTCTTTACTTCTAACCATTTGGAATTTTCATGTTTGTTTTGAACGTTTTAGCTCTTTAGATATTTTTGAATCTCTGTTCTATAATTCATTGCATTAACAGACCTACTCAACTTGGTTATCTGTGCCTTTGCCCTCTCTACCTTAATATAAGCCATTCATTTTAAACGTATAGCTGTTAGTGACAAACAGCTGGGTCTCTATAGTAAATAGAGACTGTGACTTTTTACTTTGAAATCTTCTGAATTGATGTGGAGATAGACATTTTTCGGGGGTGTGGTTATTAATTAACCCATAAACTCAGTACACATTTGTTATCTCTTTCTGCTAGGGTGTGTTGAGAGGCTTGGTCTAATATCTCATATTAAATATGGAATGAAGTGGGAGGAGTGTGGGCTCTAGAGCTAGATATAGTTGCGTATAAATCCTTGCATAATTACTTATTAGATTTTGTGACCTGTGATAAATTGCTTGAATCTCTGAGTCAGGATTTCCTCATTTCTAAAATAGTGAAAAATATTCTGTCTGTAAAAGTACTGTGATGGTTAGGAATAAAGTATCAAAAGTATGAAGTGCTCTGTCTCGTAAAGGAAGCTCAACGGTTAGGAATTGTTGTTATTAAAGATTTCCCCCAAACCTCTCAGCAGTTTTCATTTTTTCCTTATTGTAAAACTGATTTCTTAAAAATATTGCTTAAAGAGCTGTTTTTTAAATTTTAGAAACACTACATAGGAAACCTGTTTAATATGATAGTTTTTACCCAAAATTTAGAGCAAATGTCATAGTTAATGGTGGTTCAATAAAAGCATGGAGCAAAACAGGGATGCTGATATTAATATTGCTAGTGAGTATTTTTCTGGAGATCTCAGTCAGTGCAATATGGTATCTACAAAAGTTGAAGAAGCATCCTATGAAAATAATTAGATCATCTCCTTTAAAAAAAACAACAAAAAAAGCCAACTATAAATTATTAGATCATATAAAAGGCCTCAATAAAATCTGGATAAAGTAGCTGTCTTATACACTGGAAATTAACAAGTATAGTAGAAAAACATACATTCCCAACAGTTATTAAAAAATCTATAAATTACCCATGAAGAACTTCAAAATTAATGAAAAGGAGACTGTAAAACTAAATTAAGGGTACAAAAATAATGTTTAAATAAGTGAAGAAATACACCATGTTTTTAATGGAAAGCCTCAGTATTAAATAGATGTCAATTTTCCTCAAACTAATGTTTATAGATTCAAAGCAATATCAATAAAAATTCCAGTAGGATTAAACATGAAACATGATAAGCTGAGTCTAAAATTTATGTAAAATAGATATTTAACAACCTTAGAAAAAACAGTTTTGAAAAAGACAATGTGTGTGGTGGGGTAGTTCTTACTCTACTAGATGTTAAAATATCTGCTGAAGCTATAGTAATAAAAACAGTGTGGCATTTGTGCAAAAATAGAGAAATATATCAATGGAATTGATTGGAATTTTAAAAACTGAACCCAAATATTTATTGAACACTTTTTATGTGCCAGGTACTTCTTTACAGGATGAAGATACATTGGTGCTCTTACAGAATGTGCATTCTAGTGAGAGGTTACAGATAGAAGACAAATGAAAAAGTAAACAAGAAAATATCACTAGTGTTCTGCAGAGTATTAAAATAGGGCACCCGCATAGGGAAAACTGGGAGTTTTATTAGAAAGTCAGGAAAGGCATCTTTCCAGAAGTAATGTTTAATCTGAGACAGTTGTGATTTTAGGCTTGAGCCATGCTAAGAACTGAAGAAGGTATGCCAGCAGAATTAGTGCAGGATTAGTACAATGTTCCTCATGACTAGAGGGAGTCAAAATGTATACACTTTCATTTATAAAATAAATAAGCCATGGGGATGTAATGTACAGTATAGTGACTATAGTTAACAATACTGTATTGTGGATTTGAAAGTTGCGTAGAGAGTAGATCTTAAAAGTTCTCATCACAAGAAAAAAAATTCTATAACTATGTGTGGTGTGGAGACTTACTGTGGTGATCATCTTGCAATATGTACAAATATTGAATCACTGTGTTGTACATCTGAAACTAATGTAATGTTGTATGTCATTTATACCTCAACTTAAAAAAAAAAGTCCCTCGTGAGAGAACAGCTTTTCTACATTCAAGGAGCAGTAATAAGGCAAGCACATGACGGGGACAGAGGAGCAAGATAAAGTTGGAGGAGAAAACGGGAGTCAGACCAAGTCAGCTTTGTAGGCCTGGGTAATGAGTTCCAGTGTTATTCTAAGTACAGTGTGAAAACTAAAGGGTTGTCAGAACTAAAGCGTTTTGACAATGGAATGAGATGATCTGATAAAGACTAGACAAGGATTACTGTGGAGAATGGATCTTGAGGCAGCTTGTTAAAAGTGATACTGGTGAGATAATGGCAGTTTGGACTAGGAAGGACATTGCTGGGATATAGAGACCAAAAGTTCTGTTTCTGAGGTAGAGTTAAAAGAATTGGGTGGTGAATAGGATTTGGAACACTAAGGAGAGGAATCAAGAGGACATCTTAGATTTTGGGTTTGATAAACAGGGTTGATGAGAGAACCTGGTAGCAAAGCAAGCTTTAGGGGAAGGGAAGTCAAGAGTTTTGATTCAGACATGTTGAGTTTAAGATCCTTATTAGATATCATTGTGGAGATGTCAAGCAGGAAGAAAACTAAGGAGTCTAGAGTTCTGGGGAAGGGTCAGGGATGGACATGGAGATTAAGCATTCAGGGGCATATCAATATTATTTAAGAACATGGAGCCAGATGACGTGATATAAAGAGAGGGCATAAATAGGAAAGTAGAGGGGCTCTGAAGTGAGTCTTAGAGCAGTTCTAAAGTTTAAAATGAGGGTAAAGAATTAGAGCCAACAATAATAACTAAAAAGTATGGCCAGTAACATTGGACAAAACCCAAGAGAGTGTGGGGTTATGGACACCAAGGAAAGAAAGTGCTCCAAAAAAAACTGTGACTTATGCAGAACATGCTGAAAGGCCTAGTGGGATGAGGACAGAGAAGTGACCACTGCCTTTGGTAACATGGAAGTCATTGGTGCCCTTGTCATGACGAGTCCCAGTGGTTTGGTGGGGATGGAACATGGACTGGAGTATAAGGACAGAATTGCAGGTGAGAAGGTGAGGACACGTCTATAGAAAACAATATTAGAGGGAAAATTACTCAGTTCAAAAAATGTTTTGGAGACAGTTCATTTGGAAAAAAACATACTGTTTTTGTCTTACTTGAAATCATTCACCAAATATCAGACAAATGAAATAAAGATGTGAGCATAAAAATTTGATTATATTAGAAGAAAATATGAGGATATGTATATAGCCTTGAAAAAGGAAATCCTTAAATAAGCCTCAAAACATTAGCTGTATAACAAAATATTGATTATTTTGAGTACATGGAAATTAAAACCTTCTGTAGAATAAAAAAAATCACCATAATGAAGTAAGTACTTGAGGAAAATACATAGAGAACAAGGATTAAGATCCAGATTATATAAATAAATCAAAAAGAAAATGGCACAAATTCTGTGGAAAAATAGGAGGAAACACATTGACACAGTTAAGATTCTCCTACTGTAAAGTCTCTGGCATGGGCTGAATTTTGTTCCCCCTCCCTCAAATTTATGTGGTGAAGTCCTAATCTCCAGTGCCTCAGAATGTGACTGTATTTGGAGATAGAGCCTTTAAAGAGATAATTCAGGTAAAATAAGATCATATGGGTGGGCCCTAAACCAATATGATTGGTGTCCTTCTAAGAAGAAGGGATTAGGACATAGACATGCATGTGTACTGAGGAAAGACCTTGTGAGGATATAGAGAAAAGGTGGCCCTCTGCAAGCTGGGAAGTGAACTGTCACCACAAACCAACCCTCCTAAAACCTTGATCTTGGACCACTAGCCTCCAGAGCTCTGAGAAAATAAACTTCTGTTGTTTAAGCTGCCTAGTCTGTGTCATGTTGTTATGGCAGTTCTAGCAAACTAATACAGTAGCAGAGCCAGGATTTGGTTTCAGTCTAATATTTAAATATGAAATATAAAAATTTAAATATTTAGCCACGCTTCTGCAATGTTGGTGGCAAAAAAGAACCCCTTATATTCTTACACCTCAGTATCCTCATGTGGTACTTCAAAGTACTGTGGTGAGGATCAAAATGGATGTGAAAATGTACTTTGAAATCATCTGTTTGACATATCTTTAGTTACTACCTACTGTGTACAGTGTACTACGGAGGTATAAAGGTGAATCATACACAGCCTTTTTACCCCCTAGAAAAACTCACAAGTCTTTATACTAATGCAAGTTATCATTACGTAGATGTTATATCATAGCAGCCAATGATCATGATGTACTGCATACTGTTCTTAAATGAGCTCGTTTGCCATTTGCCATTGAATTTTCATTATCAATTCAGGCCGTATTCAGAGTAATTCTTAAATATAGAAACTACTTCCTGCCCACTCTCTC